CTCCGGCTCCCCACCCTGTTTTCCCATGCCGCGCCCCCAGCCCCTCCCACAGCCCGGTGTCATACCCCCGTCTCGCCTGCCGCCCCCTCCTCGCGCCCTGTGCGCCCCCCTCTCCCTTCCGCCGCGTGGCGCCCACGAAACCGACCGCCACCACGTACACCTCGGCCGAGTCCGTGCGGCTGGCGGCCGGCTTCAGCGTCCGCACCCGCGTAAAAAACGGCGCCAAACTGTCGGTGAGCCGCCGCTCGCCACCGCCGGCCCACAGCTTCACAGCAGCGCGCCGTCGGTCGCCAGCTGACGCAGCGCGAACTGCGCCACCGCGTAGCCGAGCGCCAGGATGCGGTCGTGGTCGAGCTGGCGCACGCCGCTGGCGCGCGGCGCCATGTCGCTGAGCACGAGCGTCGGCGGGGCGGGAGGAGCGCCAGCAGCGGCGCTGCGTCTCGGTGGCGGTGAAGTCGCCCTGGAGGTGGATGGCTGGAGGGAGCGGCTGCACGGTGAGCAGGTCCACGCCCACCACGGTGCCCACCGGCCGATCCGCATCTGAGAACGGGACGGCGCCGTGGGTCAGGCTTTGAAAACGCGGAGAGAGGTAGCTCAGAGGACACCAGGGCACGACAGAACGGGCTGCAAAATACATTCCATTTGAGATGGGGACGTATCATATAAGCAAGCTTCTTTTAGCAAGTCTGTTCAGAAAGAGATCGGAGAACGCGGAACGCTATAAAATTTTTGACAGCCAGCCAGGATTGGGGAGGATTGGGGCAAGGCAATCACCGAGTAAATCACTTCAGTCATGCCACGCGATCAGGTCGGTTTCCTCTGACTACCGGCGGTGGAGCAGAAGCCTCCAACGCATCGCCGGCAAAACCGGCCCCTTACCAACCGTCACAAAAAACATGCAGCAACATCGGCCCATTTACCAACCGTTACAAAAGCATGCGACAAGGCCGAGGCAGGTCAATGGAGGTGGAAGTCGATGAACAGCCACCAGCCTGATGTTCGCCCAAAAATGACAGAACAAACTGACAACTGCCGGACTTGTGCCGCCAACCGTCCACTCATTTCGCACAAGCGCAAAGCCGAAGACCGGTGACGCGGCGGCGGCCGTCACCGTCGGCGGATGAGCCTCACCGCGTCCGTCGGCGTTCACCGCCCGCAGCGCCACCGGGACCAGGCGCCGGGCGCGGCGCCGCACTCCACCACCACGCCTCCGGGCCTCATCAGCTCCACGCGGCCGGCAATCTCCAGCAGCTTGTACGCCGAGCGGGCCCTGCCGGGTCAGGTCAGGTCACGAGAGGTCAGCAGATGAGAACTACCGCCGCTGGCACGGGTTACACGCGCTACAAAGACTGGAAGGGGCGGAGGTCGCAGGTCACGGGGCGGGTAACAATGATGGGCTGATAGGTAATCAGCCGGGGGCATGACACAAGAAGATAACGGGCGCCTGAGTCCAGTGTACCTCAGTGACAGACGCTGCTTGGCTGTACATGTTGTGTGAGTGGAGTGACTATTGGTTGACCAGAGTGTGTGGTCATGTCAGAGCCTGCTCTGAACCAAAACATGGCTGGATGTTAAGGCTGGAAAGATGGAGAAAAGCAAAGACATGGAGGACAATTAACTGACACACATGATGAACACCTGCGTCCATCTACAGCCAATCCAAGGCACTGTAGCTGAGATGCACATTAGTGGGCGATGTGGGATGAAATGCAAGTCATTAGCAGCAGCTTATAGATGACATCATGGGCAATGTGAGATGAAATGAAAGCCAGCAGCAGCAGCTTGTAGACAGCACCAAACATCACACAAGTTAATACACGATGAAGGGACATGTAAGACTCATACCCGACAAATGGAGGATACCTGTGCGTGGCATACATAAATGGGAAACACCAGATAGGGAGATGAAACAGTACCTGTAGTTCTCCAGCTTGGCCTTTTTCACATATGGGTCGTTCATTTGTCGAATGAGCCATTCCTGTGAACTTTTGCCTCTGCCTTTAAGATCATTTGGAATCCTCTTCAGAACGGCCGCTGACGACGAAAATGTTCGGCAGCGACAGTAAAACACTGAGCCCATCATGCATCCGTCCTGTAAAGAGGCACACACGTGCTTTGAATCATGCTTTTTGAAACAAGTTGTCAAATTTCAAATTTTCACGACAGCAGTGGCATGCTACAAAGGCTTGCTGCAGATCGTGACGGCATCCATAAGCCAATCCATCAGCCAGCCCCAAGGGCGAGGTGCCCGACCTGATCCGATGGGAACCGGAGCGAATGATCCGATCCGATGGGGATCCGTAGCTCCAGAAAATGAATGAGAATGGTGGTTACAATGAAAGAAAACATAGTAAACTGAATTATTTGGTTTGATTATAACTAAATTTTTACATTATGCTTATTCCTGTTATCTAAATTTGTCATACCACCTTAACTAGTGAGTACCAGGGATTCTTCTCTGCATTAATCAAAAAATCATACTAGATGATCACTTCCAAATTGTTTACAATACTATTCCCGTGCTGTTCCTGGTGAGTATATCCGGAAGTACCCATAAGCACATTAAGGATGACACAGACATTAAGCATACATGGGAATCACCAGAAAAGTTGACACTTCAGATATGTGGCACAGGGCAAAGTGGGTGCTGTATCTATGTCTTCCAGGCCCGTTGGAAGCATCCGCTCAAGTAAATGCATCCTGAAAGCACCCTTCCTGCTCATGTTCTGTTGTGCTTATGTATTTAACGCGTGGGCACAATTGGGGTGGTGCTTGCCACCAGCACAGTCAGATGCAGGTAAGAAAAAATACAATTAAAAAACTATGAAAATTTGGCCCTTTCTATTCGCCTGTGGCAATGGTGGGGCAGCTCAGCTTGAGTCAGACCCTGTATACCGAATCGCTGGACCCTGGCACCGCTGCACTGGGCCACATTGGTATAGGCCCCGCAACTTCATGGGTTTTATTTCAGAGTGATCCAGTTTCATAAGTTATGCATCCATTACATTTAAATGCATCTGCAGAGCAAACTGATATAAACATTTGTGACCTACCCTTACGCCACTGATATAAAACTACGTGGTAACCATAGATATTCGAAAATAAGTGCGTTAGTAGCTGAAACAGGAGCGCCATATTGTAAACACATCCTTGAACAGATAAAGCGAAAATGACATGTTCTCGACATGCGACATCGACAGCGACATGACATGACTCAATGCTACTAATTTTTCCCCCGAACAAGAACGCGGCCGCTATTGCTCGATCTTGACTCACAATGCTTTCATTGGGCAAAAAGCAAAACCAATCAGGCTGAAGGCTGCTAGTCCTTATCTCTCTCCTTTCGATTCTTTGCAAAGGAGAATTTAATTGGATGTTAGGTGCCCAGAATTAAGAAACACGGTAATCCCGATTCAGCTGCAATCTCTCAAGGCTCGACATCCACCTGAAAATTATGAATAAGGCATCAAGTTTTGCTCCATTCAGGGGGAAACGGTACCCGTCAGCGTACAAGTAAACTCGGCCAGTTGCTAAATGATGGCCAGAAGCCCTGAATTATGTAATATTTAAAACACCAGCGATATCGGTTATGTCAAAACTGAGACTCGCCCCAAAATGCTTCTAGACGCACTGTTCACCTCGAGACCAACCCCTCCCGGCCCTCCTGGTTTACGCCCGTGCCGCGCCGGCGGCAGCATTCAGTGCAGATGTAGCTCCGACTTGCCGGCACTCCGTCGGCTCGCGCTGGAGTTCGACCGTGACGTGCCTCGGTGGTGGAGATCAACGGAGGTGGGCGCGGCTCCAAGGCATCCGGCGGCTCGTACGAGTGACAAAGCTACCGGGACGTGCGCTCCAGCCACAGCCGCTTCTAACATGGTAGGGGGGCTGAGTGTCGGTGTCTGCTGAACGTGGCCCTCATTGCGTGCTGGCCCATCAGTTCGACAGGGCGGCGCGCTGGGGTGATTGCTGCTGATCTCGTTTTGTCACAGGGTCTTACGATGCTTGGGCCGTCTTGGTGTCTTCTCTGTGGATTGGTCGCGAGGTGGGAGTCCCTACGTGCAGAGCAGGTTGTAAGGGAGTAGTGATGTTGTTTCGCCTCCCCTCATTGCGGGCTTGCCGAGCAGTTCGCCAGGCAATCTCCTGCTTTCCTGGTTTTCCTGGTTCTGGTCTGGTGCCGGCACGCGGAAAGGCGGCTCCAGGGCGTCGCCCGAGGGGGACCTTCGACAGTTTTCTCGCATGTCCAGACAAGTTGGCACCATTTCCTGATCCTCATGGTCTCTGGTAGAAGTTTCATGCCGGGATTTAATGTCTAAGGCGACCAAACACGATCACCCAGACTCCATATGTCCCAATTCTGCCAACTGGGCAGAGCTAGGGACTAAATGACTGACCAAAGGTGTTCCAAGCATGTGAGACCGGCCCACGCAAAACAGTATCCTAAAATGCAGCCCTGGTCAACAACCTACTCTTTCTAGAACATGGTGGCACTTGGTCAGGCCCATGGTCACCAAAAATAACCAAAACCTCTGAGATAATTTTGTGTCATATGTGCTGAGCCAGGAGACCAAACACTACCAAACCTTTACCACATGATGCTCCTCAGTTAAAAACCTATCCTTTTCAACATGTGGCGGCCTCGATTCAGATCAAAGGTTACCAGAAGTCTGCCATCAAAAGGTGAAACCCCTTATGTTCATTTTTGGCCATTTTGCATTTTTTAAAGAAGTCCTTGATTCATCTTCTCCAGCTGAAGTTGTTCATTTAAACCATTTTTGAAAACATCACAACCTTTGCCAAAAAAATGCTAAAAGTTTTGGAAGATTTTAATCTATGGCATAGATAACCAAATTCAGCTTGAGAAGACGACATGAATGATGTAAAGCACACAAAATGGCCAATAATAAACTACAATGTTTGACTTTGGGCAGCAGGAATATCCCTGAATGCAAGGATTAGATACAGATGATATCAATCAACAAACATGTAGATAATCCTTTCCTCCTCTGACCCCCCACAAGGAACCACTACACCCCACGCCAACTCCCCGTGATCTCGCAGGAGCCACTTCGCTTTACTCTGACTCCCCTCTGATCTTCCAGGAGACGCTGAAGCCTACTTTAGTGGCTGCTACCGGGTTCGACGCCACAGCCGACGCGCTGAACCTGCGCGATGCCATGAAGGGCCTCGGTAAGCCACCAGCTGTGCCGTGACGTCACACCACTGTCACGTGGGGCATGTCACCGTGTGGTGGGTGTCATGGCAGTGTCACATGATGACATACTATTGGCATGCAGCGTCACGTCCTTATTGCGCGATGCCCCGCTTCTGTCTCGGGGCGTTACGCCACCGCCACGTGACGTAACGCTACTGTCACATGAATTCATGTTCACGTGACGTCACCACTATCTTGTGACGTCATCTCACTGTCACTTGATGTAATTGCACCGCCATGACGTCACGTCTCTCTCATGTGCAATTTGTGAGAAACTCTAACGTGCTGTGTTAGGAAATCGTCTCAAAAACTGCCAGAAAGTGTGAGCCGAAAGCTAGTACCCGGCGTGCATGAAGTTGAAACGTTTGCGAACCTGGTTACGTTCGACTGGAGAAATGTGCACCTGTACACAATGCTGTGGGAATGCGGTTTTGTGGATGCCATTTCACCACTATTTTACGACCTATTCCGTTTGCTATCTAAGTTACAGTGCTACGATGTCACGTTGTGGCGTGTTTTCCGTATCGAAGTGAAATGCATCACTGTGTCAGCATCTAATTGCAGTTGGTCACGTAGATTCATTAAACGTGTTGGCTTCCCGAGCCTGATGATCATGTGGCTTGAATGTACCAAAGTTGTCAGCATTGTGTTGATCATCCCATACTTTGCAATGCCTCAAGCTTTGTTGCATGATTTGTCTGGAGGACGAAACATCACCACGGGGTCCCTGGCTATCTGTTTGGCGAATCCAACACCCATGCGTGATTCACGAGCAGCCATCGACTCAGCGTGCCTCGCTCAGCGTGCCCTCCTCCGCCGCAGGGACGGACGAGGACCGGATCATCGACGTACTGACCCACCGGAGCAGCCTGCAGCGGGCCGAGATCGCCGCCAAGTACAAGGTCGCCTACGAGAAGGACCTGGAGGAGGCCTTCAAGTCGGAGCTTCATGGTGACTTCGAGCGGGTGTGCCGGTGAGGCAGGGGTCAGCGCCGGGTGGGTGTGCCGGGTGGGTGTGTCGGTGAGGGAGGGGTCAGCGCCGGGTGGGTGTGCCGGTGAGGGAGGGGTCAGCGCCGGGTGAGTGTGCCGGTGCGGGAGCGGTCGGCGCCGGGTGGGTGTGCCGGTGAGGGAGGGGTCAGCGCCGGGTGGGTGTGCCGGTGAGGGAGGGGTCGGCGCCGGGTGGGTGTACCGGTGAGGGAGCGGCCGGCGCCGGGTGGGTGTGTTGGTGAGGGAGCGGTCGGCGCCGGGTGGGTGTGTCCGTAAGGGAGCGGTCGGCGCCGGGTGGGTGTGCCGGTGCGGGGGGGGGGGGGGGTCGGTGCCGGGCGGGTGTGTTGGTGAGGGAGGGGTCAGCGCCTGGCGGGTGTGTTGGTGAGGGAGGGGTCGGCGCCGGGCGGGTGTGCCGGTGAGGGAGCGGTCGGCACCGGGCGGGTGTGCCGGTGAGGGAGCGGTCGGCGCCCGGTAGATGCGGAGAGGTGCAGCAGGGGGTGTGGGCCGTGGATATTCCCCCAGGTGTTCGGGGTGTGCCAGCGTAAACTCGAAGTACGTTCCTCGCTCCCCAAGTCGTGCAATGCGTCGGTAAAATCCGTGTTAGTGTGTTTTGGGCTTATCGATCGACGGCTTCAGGGGAAGCTGGTGTGCGATGTAGAAATGTGCTGAAAGTAAGGTCAGTTCGTGCATGAGCTGTAAGTGCGACTGCGATCGTTTTTTGGCTTCGCGGATGACGGCTGGTGGCTTGTACATGATGCTCTGTGTCAGGTGCCTTCCCCATCTCTCACGACCTCACAAGGCTGCGGACAGGGCTCCCACGGTGTGCAGGCGTGCTCAGCTGACCTGTATTCTGTACAGATTGATGACCCAGTAACCAGCCGTGTGCTTCTTGTACATGGTGCTCCAGTGACCTGGTCTGTGTTCCATGTCAGTAATGATCTATTGTTACGTGACTTGATGTACCCCAGGCGCACGCAGCTGACAGCCGAGTGCCCTGACGACAGGTACATGGTGCGCCCGCTGACGACGCTGCTGGCGGAGGAGCTGCACCGCGCCATGGACCGGCCGGGCACCAAGGAGGGCGTCCTGGTCGAGATCCTCTGCTCGCGCAGCAACGCTGAGATCAGGCACATCAGCATGGAGTACCACAAACGTGAGCAGGCGTGCCAGAGTACCGTGAGTACCGCGGAGTACGAGGCGTGCATGGAGTACCATGGCGTAAGCACAGGGCCACAGGAGCGTGCACAAGTACTGTTAGTGTTGACCAACTTATTACGTGTGCGTTTCAGTGCCGGAGCACTTGCATGATCGTGTGTCATGTTTGTGGTGTTGTCATGCAGGACCTTGTGTATGGTTTCCAGGATTGCCAGCGGGTGCTATTGTCTTTAAGATGCATTGGCACTCTGGGCTTGTTTTGGCAGAGAAGAGGTTCGAAGTAGGGGGTGATTGTGCAACAGCTCACACCGAGCTTGCTTTTGTCCCTGCTTGCACCTCGCTAGTTCTGCTGTTTTGAACAGTGTTTTAACGGCGCTCAGAGTCTCACGCTGCCTTTTATGCTGTTGCAGTTTTCAACAAGTCTCTTGAGGCGGACATTGGGAGCGACACGAGCAGGGACTTCCAGGACCTGATGATGTCCCTGGTCAATGTAAGTAGTCGCCTGGCCATAGGGACACGATCAGGGACTTCCAGGACCTGATGATGTCCCTGGTCAATGTAAGTAGTCGCCTGGCCATAGGGACACGATCAGGGACTTCCAGGACCTGATGATGTCCCTGGTCAATGTAAGTAGTTGCCTGGCCATAGCGTTTTTTGCCCCTCCCTCCCAGCACTCACTGCTATTCTCCTCGAAATGTAAAACACTCAGGTACGCCTGCTCGTTTTTGAGATGCTATTTTGCCGATGTTTTGATTCTGTTCCATGCAAAAATACCCCAAAGCACCAAGTATCCAAGTTTCATGCTGGAACTGTCAGCAACAAAGGCGGTCCATTTTATTCCACAGAGGCTGTGGGTGTGTGTGGCACGCTCATGATAGCCCTATCTCGATTGGACTTCTCAGCCTTCACCATTCGTAGGTTACGAACAGAACACACGTGTTAGCTACCATCTGAGTCTTTCTCCCGTGATGAAATGCGGCATGACGCGTATCTGGGCTGGCAAGAAACGCTTCTGCGGATCGTGTTGCATTTTCTTTAATATCACTTAAGGTTCTTTCATCCTGAGTTGTGTCTTTAGTATGAGATCCTGATGGTTAGGTATAAACTTCGGCCGGAATATGAAAGTACTTAACGCCGTGTGCAACTGCTTGCCGAGTTTCCACTCCTCATAAGGTCTCTTTAAATCTGCCAGTTGTCACGAACACTTCATGTTGATATGGCCATTCCACATCGCCACTAACTAACGCCCAATCAGTTTGATTGGTTCATCTGAAACTCGTGTCCCATCAATACCACGTTTATTTTGAACTTCCTTTGACAACGAGCAATTTTCCTTCAGTACGCGCGCTGCCCCCTCCCCCCCCCCCCCCACCCCTGTACCACCCATTCCCCCGCTGTGAGGCTTTCCTCCACGCCCCTGCTCCAAGCTCCCGTGACTCCGAGCGAGCTCCGAGCTGATGGCGTGGTCACGTGGCCCCAGGCGGACCGGGACGAGCTGCACGTGAAGCCGCCCAAGCAGGACCCGGCGCACCCCAAGCCGGTGAAGCCGGTGCCGCAGCCCAGTATGGAGCGTGCCGAGAACCAGGCCCAGCAGCTGTACAAGGCAGGTGGGTCACTGTGAGGGGGACCAAGCCCAGCAACTATAAAAGGCATGTGGGTCACTGTGAGGGGGATCAGGGGTTGTGGGGTGCTCACGGAAGGTATGGTGGGTGTTGTTTGACTCCATTTGCTTGACAAAGAAACCAAGTGGCGTAACTCTCCGTTGCGATTAAGGAGATATGTATGAGCATGACGTGATATTAGCGGTTGACGATATTGGCGGTGATACCAAAAGTGTATCGTTCGAAAACAGCATTAAAGCAATGTTTCTGTCACACCGTTTCACGGAAGTATTAGCGTAAATTGCGACTAAGAAGTGGCGTGAAAGCGGCATTATGTGACCATGCCAAGATCGAATAGACGCCGCCAAGAGCTCTGCCTTTCGGTACAGAAGTCTCGCCTGCTCAGGTCCCACTGTTTGTACGCCTGCCTTCCCGCCTGTTCGTGACCTGCCGTGATTAGTCTAATGCGTTGCGCCCACCCAGCGCTCCCATTACTACCACGTCATTGGTGTCAGCTGGGGAGCAGACGGAGGACAGTTAATGCGCCGTAAATTAGAGGATGTCGTGTCCGTATGGGATGTGATATAGGATGCATATGTGATATATATATATATATATATATATATATATATATATATATATATATATATATATATGCATATGTGATGTTGTGTGGGGATAAGCTATCTTTGTGATGAGCATTGGCCTGTAAATTACCACATCATTGATTACTGCGGGCACCACCTTCTAAGGTACTTGCGTCGGGTTGTTTTACGTTCACTGTCCAGTGACGCACTCCGCGGTGTATGAGACGGCTCTCATGGTGAGCGATCCGCAGCCCTCCCCTCCCCCTCCCCCTGTTGACCAAGCGTCTCTCCCCACTGGTCCGCAGCCCTCCCTGTTGCCAAGCGTCCTATCCCACTGGTCCACAGCCCTCCCTGTTACCAAACGTCCCGTCCCACTGGTCCACAGCCATCCCTGTTACCAAGCGTCCCGTCACACTGGTCCGCAGTCCCCCCTCTTGACCAAGCATTCCGCCCTACTGGTCCACAGCCCTCCCTGTTACCAAACGTCCCGCCCTACTGGTCCACAGCCCTTCCTTTTACCAAACGTCCTGCCCCACTGGTCCGCTCCCTTCCCGATGACCAGCGTCCCGTCCCACTGGTTCACAGCCCTCCCTGTTACCAAGCGTCCCGCTCCACTGGTGAGCTGGACGCTGCCCGCTGAGGCGGCGGCCGGTGTTACATGAGCCGGTGTCCGTCGGCAGGCGAGGGTCGGCTGGGCACCAGCGAGAAGTCCTTCAACATGATCCTGGCCACGCAGAGCTACGAACAGCTGCGGCTCACCTTCCAGGCCTACGAGAAGATCTCTAAAAAGTAGGTTGATGCTCGGATCTACGACATTGATGGCGTTTAGATGAGACGGAATTGTTCGTAAGGCAGTGTTTTTTGATGAGCCGAGGGACCCAACGTCATCATCGTGGTTGGTGGACGTCTTCGCGTGAGGCGTGCCGCTTCGCTAGGCGGTCTGTACAATCCACCTTCGCATGGTCAGCTGCCTTCACAAGATGGCTCCACCCGTCTCATTCACGTGTCGTGCTGTCCCCGACAGGACCTTTGAGCAGGCGGTGCGGAGCGAGACGCACGGCGACTACCAGGACGCCCTGCTCGCCATAGGTGGGTGACCCCGCCGCCCCGGTGTGACCCCCTGTGTGGCCGGCCGGCAGAGCGTTTCATGTGGCCGTGCGGAGCGAGACCCGCGGCGATTACGGTCGGGCGCTGAGCATGCTCGGTGAGTTGTGACTGTGTGGTTGGCGGGGTTCGGTAGCCCGCAGGGCGATGGAGGCGGAGCAGACGCGGTCCCTCTAGTCCTAGTCGGTTCTTGGCCTATTTTTTCTGTTTTTCATTCTTTGCTTATTTTGCGTTCGTCCCTGTCTTCTTCTTCGCCTTTCCTCCCCTCCTCACTGCTTCCCACCCGCCGTCCGCCTGGGCCGTTCATCCCCTTATCCCCGCCTCCCTACCTCCCGCCTCTGCGTCGCCGCCGCTCTGCCTCTATACCCCTCTCCCCCACATTTCCGCCTCTCCGACTCTCCGCCCTCCCGGCTCCTCCTCTCTCGTCCCCGGCTTCCCGCCTCCCAGTCGCTCTGCCGTCTATCTCTCCTCTTCCACGGCTCCCCTCCTCCGCACCTCCCCACCTCCCTGGCTACCCCTGTCCCTGCCTTCTCGCCTCCCCGCCTCCCCGCCCGAGTTCGTGCCTCGTAGTCTCTCGTAGTGTGCGGTTCCATGCCCGACTAATCAGTCCGCTTTGAAGTCAAACCACCAGCTCTGCCTCTGGCTGTGTTGTCTAGAACCAGCCGCGGGCTAGAGCCAACTTCGGGCTTATACCTTGAAGGGTGACGGAGTGGCGCTTGTGAGCAACGGGCAACAGGCAACCTCAAATGAGCGCGAGGCTTTGGGATTTCGAGGCCTTTTGAGAGTCTGCTGGCTGGGCCGATGTGCCTGGTGCCTGGTTAGATGTGCCTGGTGGCTGGTGAGATGTGCCTGGTGGCTGGTGAGATGTGCCTGGTGGCTGGTTGGATGTGCCTGGTGGCTGGCTACATGTGCCTGGTGGCCGGGTAGATTTACCTGGTGGCTGGGTCATTGCGCCTGGTGGTCGAACTTTAGCTTGAAAGTGGTTGTGATCCGCGCATGCCGTCAGGGAAGCATTCCTTTACTACCAGAAAAATAATCTCGCTGCTTTTCGCGGAGTTTTCTAGGGCTTTCTTGGCCTTACTCGAGCGTGAATGGACGGCTGTACTCTATGAAATGTCTGCCATGGAATAGGTGGCGCCGGCCGTTGGGAACCACTGGTTAGATAAGTGCTTAGTCGCGATGGTCCATTTAACGTGGTGTCAACATATTCCGAAACTTCACGACCGCCGTATGGGCCTGGCCGATCGCGTAACTAAGAAATGCTAATGAAAATAGAAATAGTGCAGAGGTGTTTGAGGGTTTACAAAAGTCTGTTCCCATTTATGCCATGAATTCCGCTGTTCCCCAAGTAGTAGGCCGATTCTCCGCGCCCCTCCCGTGGTATGTCGTAGTCTTTTACACGAACGTTGCGAGCGAGGTCTCGAAGCGGTTCGTGTGGTTTGAGTTGGGTACGCATTTTGGAAAACATCAGCTTTACATTTAGTGAGGGAAAGTGGGCACATCGGACTGGTTTGTCCCTGTAAACACGTGCATTGTGATTTTAGACAAAAGTGGCCCAGAGGATATGCCTGCAAGACATTTGCAAGATATGCAAGACAAGTACATTTGTGGGGAACGTTATGCATGTAGACCAGACAGTATTAATAGCCATTTTCCCCGTAGAATAAACAGGAGAATAGAGAAATAGGTGTGATCTTTCGGCTACATGCCTCTATCGAAACGTATATCAGCACACAGACTGCTAACATGTGTACATTTCGATAAAAGCGTGTAGCCGAAATACCACACCTATCTCTCAATTTTCCTGTTCATTCTACGAGGGATTAAACTAGTAACACGGTCATCCTTTGTGGTTCCCTCACGTGCCGTTGACATGTCTGACGTTCAAATGGCGGCATACCCTCAAAACGCCCAGGTTCATGCATTCCAAGCATGTAGTTTTCGACCTTTACCACGCGAATGCTCCTGCCATCTACCATCGACCGCAACACGATCAGTTCACACTCAGCTCACGAGATGTCGCCGCGATGGTCTTCCGCCGAGCAGTGGCGGTGGCGCAGAACCGGCCGGCGTTCTTCGCGGGGCGTCTCAACCGCTCCATGAAGGGACCCGGCACCAACGACAAGGACCTGATCCGGCTGCTGGTGTCTCGTGCGGAGATCGACCTGGGCAACATTAAGGACGAGTACCTCAAAATGTTCGGCAAGCCGCTGGAGAAGGACATCCATGTGAGTGGCAGCGCTAGTCGATTACTGACGGGTCTCCTCTGGGGCCTTCCCTTGGCTAGTTCGCGGGTGGATTATAGCCGGCATAAGCTCTATATTTCGTGTTGACTTTGAGGATATCTTGCATCTGTGTTAGATGCGGAGCCGGAAACGAGCAGGACCGGAAGCTGGGCGGGTTCTGCTTGCACAGTGACGAAATTTGAACTTAACCTGCCCGGCCCAGCTCAATCGGGCAATATTTCAAAATAAAGGTCGTGCTTCAACGGTAGTGCGTGCCGCATGCGCTTATAGGCGTTTCCGTAAAAGCTGTGAACGATATTGCGACGTAAACAAATTACAGCATTTTACTTTCGATTGGCAAAGTCGCCTCAAATTTTCGAGTGCAAAAAGCTGCACAACACGGCGGAAACCTGGCCCAGGTCTGAAGATCTGGCGTCGCAACGGCGCAAACTCAACACGTTTTGACGGGGAGGGAAAGGGCACTCACACTGGCGAATGCCTGGGTCGGTCTGTGGAGCCGGACCGTGACTCCGTCTGTGACAACCTGGCCATGACTCCGTCTGTGACCGGACCGTGACTCCGTCTGTGTCCGGACCGTGACACCGCCTGTGACCGGACCGCGACTCCGCCTGTGACCGGACTGTGATTGTCTGTGATAAGACTGCGACTCCGCCTGTGACCTAGCCATGACTCCGTCTGTGACCGGACCGTGACTCCATATGTGACCGGACCGTGACTCCATCTGCGACCGTGCCGTGACTCCATCTGCGACCGTGCCGTGACTCCGCCTGTGATCTGGCCATGGCTCCGTCTGTGACCGGACCGTGACTCCGTCTGTGACCGGACTGTGACTCCGTCTGTGACAAGACTGCGACTCCGCCTGTGACCTGGCCATGACTCCGTCTGTGACCGTGCTATGACTCCATCTGCGACCGTGCCGCGACTCCGCCTGTGACCGTGCCGACAGAGCGACACGTCCGGCCACTACCGCAAGCTGCTGCTCCGTCTGGTGGGCGCCACAGACGCGTAAAGAGTGACCGCGTCCAGCCCGTCCGCCCCCGACGCCCGCAGCAGGAGCCCGGCCGCAGGAGGAGCCCCGGCCGCGCGGCACCGGGCGCCGGGGCGTCCCCGGACTGCTCGGCCATGGGACGGCCGTGTACGGCTCGTGGCGGGGTGACAGACAGGGATCGCCGAGCAGGAAGGAGGGGACTATGGAGACAGGGTCCAGAGCGGCAGGTGGAGTAATGGAGCCTCGGTCGGATGAGGGGTGGTTGGGTGCTTGCCCTTTAACAGGAAAACTTTTAGATATTTTTATTTTTGAGCTATATTTCGAGTGTTGAGCTTTGCGAGAAGCATGGTTTTGTTATAAGTGCCGCAGCTGCCGGAAATGCGTAGCGTGAGTGGCGTTGAATAATGTGCAGAACAACCACCTGCATAAGCATGTGGCGCCTATTTTGCCGTACCGGATATTTCCTCGAATGCTGCATTAGCATTCATGTTTTGGGTGATCTGTCGCACCGTTTTGTGGTGTCTATCCCCGACGGAAACATTGTATCTACCCTCGTGGATTAGGATGTTACATTATCCTAAAAAATATCTATTTCACTGATCATGATAACACTCAGCACCTTTTGTCGCGTGACGTCATATTTCGCGCACCTCCGTATTGGTGCTCCGGTTTTGTGCACGATAAGCGAGGTCTGGGAATGTCCATGTTGCGCCCTTCCTCACGAACTGGAAGCGGAAGGTTTAATGATCTAAATGCCGGTGCGATGTGTTTAGGGGCTTAGACCGTTCCACGCGTCGACTGTGGTGCTGGCAGATGGGCCTGTTATGTGTGTGCGGCAAAACGAAGCTTCTGGGCGAACATAATAGTCTGTAGCTTGTTTTTTTATCTTATGGGGCGATGCTTTCCGTTGCCATGGTAAAAATGCTGCAATGGCATGCTATTTGTCGACCTGGTGCTGAATAATACGTTAAATTTCGTCTAGTTCGAACAGTGTTACAGGATTAAGTCAATATGTGCGAAACGTAAAGAGCGAGTGTCAAAATGACCAGCATAAGGTGACCTCTAGGACCAACGACCACCATTCACGCGATTCCAATATACTGAGTCACGACTTTACGCGAATCCTCATTGGCTGTCATTAGAGAACAGAGCGTGTTAAACTAGCCCATACTTGCGCAGTGTCTAGTACGGAGTTTTGGAACACGTTGCCATGGTCGTTCATGCTTCGGTAAATAGGGTATGATATGCGTCGCAAGAGTGCCCTGTAGGTGTGCTGATATCCTACAATACACTACCTGTACCGAAAGCATGAGCCTTTGAACTGAGAGGCACAAGTGGTCTAACGTCGGTGTTTGGGGGGGGGGGGGGGGGGGAGCTCTGTATGTTTTTGCTGCTTGGTTGAACAGCACACAATTTGTTGTCTGGGGACACAGCCACGCACATACATGCACTATTTTCTCCGTTCGCGGCGTCACGTAGGGCCACCCACGTGGCACGGGCCAGTCGGAGACGCGCGACACCCACTGCAGGAGAGCCACAGACCAGAACAAACACGGCTCAAGTGTCCCCTTGGCCTGAGGTCGGGGTGCCGGGGCGACCCGTGCCGTGCCCCAAGGGCATAAACACAGACATGTAGGTCGACCTGCCCTCGAGTCAGGTCAGGTCAGGTCAAGCCACGCCTCTGTGGTCGGCTGCGGCGGAGGAGGTGGCGTTTCGGCGGCGGGAGTCAAACGGCTGGGTGCTCTACGTTCTCGTTCATGTGCACATGTTTCGAACCAGGCCAGTCGCCATTGATCACCGTTACGTTACGAATGTCTTCCGCTGACTCGCATTGTAATGCGTGAGACTCAGCCATGACGGCCGACGGTCATCTCCATGTCTGTCTTCATGTCTCCATGTCATGTCTCTCCATGTCTCCATGCCATGTCTTTTGAGGTTCGGGGAGGTGCACAGAGTGATACTCAAATGAAGCTGATCCAGAATAGTTAGTGCGTACCCTACGACTGGAGCGTACACCCAAACAACTGTTCAAACAACAAAGGCATGTTAACATGTTTTGTTAATGCCGATGGAAAGTTGATTCTATTATGGCGCGGTGAAGCCCGTTATTACCGTGACAAGTCTCGTAAAGAGTCACGAACAACTACCACCCACTGTCACGCAAGTCACGCGAATCACATAATCAGCAGCAGGAGAGCCTCTGAGCGGGAGGAGATGCCGGAGGGTGGCAAAGGCTGTTTTAATCCCATCTTCCCATGCATGGTTATGAGGCCAGTGCTATTTATTTTTAGAAAATAGGATGCTGTTCCAGCGCCACCTTCCTCAGCTTCCGCCGCTTTTTAGCGTGCCGATGCGGCCACTAAAACCATGGATACTTACCTCCCGGTAGACTTGTCCTCTCGTCACAGGCACGTGAGTGCATCGAAGTACAAGACTGGCAAACGACATGCGTTGGTCATTGCCTGTAACGCTTTCCTTTATCGTCACGTGTGGCGAGATGGCGCAAATCAGCATCCTCGCACCTGCATGCCTGAATCGTGGAAACATCTGCTAGGTTTCGGTCGCATAGTGATGGTAATATCAGCCTGCTTTCTCATGTGGCAGCCATTGCAGTGAGTGGCGCCGCCACAAATTTTGTGGGCCCATTCTTCCGTTGTGAGCAATTACGCTTTTGACATGCTTAGGTCTTTGCAGCTGCTAATTGCGCGGCCACGTAGTTTGCAGTAACAAAAAGTTTAGTTCTGTAAATGCTGGTCGTCTGCTCTGGCGATGAATTTCTGCGACGTTGGATATCATGTCTGCTTCAGCTCCCCTTTCGTTTAGCACGGGAAACGTGCAATTTTCAAACCGCAAACAAGGTGCAGAACGTGGGTCGGAAACAGATCCATGTCTTCATTTCTGTCCATTCTTCTCATCCATTCTTCCATTCTTTCCATTCTTTGGCGACAAGTGCATGGCGATGGCTCTGATATCTGCTATCACCTCACCCGTCCCCCGCTACAAACGACATCCTACTGGTTGCCAGAGTGATATATGGAGCGGCTGGCTGGCTCAGATGCATTATAGATTAGCCCGTCCTGCTCCTCACCCTGCTTTTTAGCCTGGTTCAAGTAGGATGAGTGGATCAGACTTGATTCACGAATAAGGTAAGGACAAGTTTCTTTAATTAGGTGGCGAAGTAGAGCTCACGTACAAAGAACTCGTAGAAAGTAGAACATCAGCTATCAGGAACGGTTTTAGTTCTCATCCCGTCTTCGCTTTGGTTTGATAAGATTCTTGGGCATCCACTAGGCATTGTATTGTTTTGTGCGCTGTTCATAGCACGACCCAGGTCTTCTTGTATCTCATCTAATGCTTGCCACACTGGTCTTTCAGTGGCTTAATACGTTCGTTTTTCGCTTCAGATGTCGACCGTCAGACATGACGCGCTATCCAGCCTGTTAATGGACACGCAGACATGTTCTTTCACCATGAGCCGCTCTCATTCCTGCCTTATCTACGATCTAGCCCTGCTGGTTGACACTGTGTCAGAGCGCTGTTAAAACAACGTGATGAAACGCTGCGAACATCTGTAGTGGAAAGACTGTTGGAGCGAATGGATTAGCCACGAACTTTTGTATTTCAACGCATGCAGACCTGGCACTTCCTCGGCATCGGTAGCACCCACGCGTCTTTCCTGGTGTAAGCCAGCCGCCCGCTGCCCTGCAGCCTTCCCCGCGGTATTTTCAACGCATCCCAAAACAGTTTTGGCCTTAGCATGGGCTCGAAGGGAGTCGAGAACACCCTAAGTGTGTTGCAAAATGTGTCATTAGGCAAAAGGGAGCATAATGGAGGACTGAAGCAAAATGGTAATCTCTACTAATTCTGCCCGCCCATTAGCGTGTCGTAGCACTACGCGCGGTCAGTTGGACAATGGTGTCAATCTTTCCGCTCCTTTGCTGTTGTCGGACGTAGAAGGTGCTCTCCGGAATCACGACGCCTGTCCCATTATGGAAAAAGTGGACAACTTCGTCACAGCCCGAATCACTATAATGGATGCATTCCTGTGCTCCTGCCTATACTCCTCTCGTACGGTTCGGTTGTCAGAGACCCAGATCGCGATGCTTCCACACCTTCGAACTCGGTCGCTGAAGTCTTCAACGGCACTTTCCTCCAGCGTCGCCTGAGCGGTGTTTATCCCGAACCAGCTGTGGGACATCATGAGCCCCGGACGTGTTTGGCCCGTCGAGCCGGGCCCCGTGCCGACATCTCCATCTCGCATCCCTCCACCGCCAACCGTCTCAAGTCCGTCGGCGCACCCGGCCGGTCGCAGACCAGTCCTCTCTCTTAGACCAGACCAGACCAGACCAGACCACACTAGACAAGTGCTCCACCGAGCAGTTCGTCGAGGGCCGATGTCGGATGATCCCACCCTCCCCGCGGATGTCCGTGCCTCAGCTGCGCGCCCGCGCCAGCCGCGACGCGCTGGAGGTTCGTTCGCCTTACCCTCGCCCAGGACGGCGCCGGCACCGTGCAGCGGGTCAGCCCGGCGCGCTGGAGGAGGTCCACCTCACCCCCAGCGGGGTCGGAACCGGCACCGTGCGGCGGGTCAGCCTGACGAGCTGGAGGAGGCCTGCCTCACCCCCAGCGGGGTCGGAACCGGCACCGTGCAGCGGGTCAGCCCGACGCGCTGGAGGAGGCCTGCCTTACCCTCGCCGGGGTCGGAGCCGGCTCCACACAGCGGGTCAGCCTGACGCGCTGAAGGAGGTCCATCTCACCCCTGCCGGGGTCGGAGCTGGCACCTTGCGGCGGGTCAGCCTGACGAGCTGGAGGAGGTCCACCTCACCCCCACCGGGGTCGGAGCCGTGCAGCTGGTCAGCCTGACGCGCTAGAAGAGGTCTACATTACCCCTGCCGTAGTCGCAGCCGGCATCGCACGATGGGTAAGCCTGACGCGTAGTTGGCGCACCGCTCAACAGTTATTTGCTAGATAGTTTTCCGAAGAACTATGCCGCTGCTCGACCCCGACAGAAGGCTTCGTGTCTGGCTTGCAGCGCCGATCTGATGCGTGGCCTGCCCGGGATCAGTCCGATTAGAACCTCACGTAAGATCTCCAACAAGTACGGCCAAAGCACGACCGCGCTCTCGTAAGCAGGGATGCTCTTCTTTTGAACAGCGGACAGTTGCCAAGGATCTCAGCTATTACGGAAGTGGAAGCATGAAGATGAGATTGGTATCGTTTTTTGCAGTAAACGGGGGTAAACAGAGCACATGATTAACTCTTACAAAATGCTACTTAACGAAAACCTTGACATATTCCAAAAAAAAACTTGGAATTACCGTCGTCCGTGAAAGTCTAGCGCTCGGTGAATCCCGTAGTGCCGAGCCTATGAATTTTGCGTCTCATATTCGCTGTCTGTTGCAATTTTATTATTTTTCAACAGATTTCGCGGACACCAACACTGGGGAGCCTTTCAACGTTGGATGTGGATGCCAAGGTCTATGTAGCACGCGGCCGCAGTGCATTGTACGCAAGGAGCCATGCTCTGTAATCGATAACATGTAACGTGTACTTGATTTAATATTTTGTCATATTTACATCATTACATGGGTGGCTTGAGAGTCTACCACTTTTTGGTTGCGTCCCCGTACCCTTCGTCCCGATGCAGGGGGCGGCGGGAGGGGGAGGGTGGGAAGGGGAGGGGCCGATGCGACCCCCGCTTGAGCCATTTTGAAGATGCCTTTCCTCTCCAGCATGCCATGCAATTGCACCCAAAGTTTCATTACCATATGGGGGTCCATTGCGCGTGTTTTGACACCAAACACGTGCTCCTAGTGTTTCTGTTTGCGGATGGGCGGCGTTTTTTAGGAACACTGCATCGCGATCAACAGCCCGCGCTATAAGGGTTTGCCAAGTACATACGTGCATGCATGTACATACGTGCATGCAAAAGGAGAAAAGCTCGATTTTCGGGAAAATTTGAGATTTCAACCTGGTATAGTAGGGTGAATGGTCAAACCAACAGCGTGCAACCAATCGCCAATCATAAGATCTTTTCAAGACCAATCCACAGGTGTTTTCAGCTAAAACCTATTGCTCTTAATTTTGGAAGCGGCACTGTCGCCTCAGCCCCACCTTATCAGTCCGCGTCATGGAAAAGCGGTGAATAATGGCGAGAGTTAAGTTTTCAGATGACTAACAGCTCTTTGAGCTCCTTGCTCAGATTGCTTGCACATTTTTTTAAACAGGTTCTCGTGCTGTCTTGTGGCTGCTCATTGCTGACGGCTCATGAAGGCGGCTCGGCTCAGTACTAAGTGGCTAGTTTAGT